GGAGCGGTAGAATCAGTCTGCCCATTTGTAACAAGAAGAATTCGATTATTTAGAACCTATACTAATAGAGTTGTTGCTCAAACTCGGGAGAAACTACAATGTAAATAACTTATTGTGCAATTTTATCCTGTCCCATCCCTTTAATCTATCTAAAGAGTTGTTAAATGACATTGAGTGGCATTTGGGTAGGCTGTTTGAAGTTCATAGGCCATTGCTTAGCTTCCTTGTCCAAGGACTGCAGAGTGGAAAGAATGGCATGAAAGCAGGTGGTAGCATGCTATTTATTTTGTACTTTTTACATATAGCAGCATTGGTTTCAGCTTGGATTAGATTTTTAAATTGAGCCAGTAACGTAGATGTGTAGTGCTTAAAACTAGGCAAGAAGTGACAAGATTTGTGGTCATGAAAAAGATCAGCATGTAGTGAAACTATGCATATGCTGAATAGACCTATGTCTACACTGTTCGATTAGCAAGAAGACTTTGGTCAAACGGAGGTCTGCTCTTGTACTCATCTATGGATCTAGAAGATGAATAGTCCACTAGCAACTCGGAAGTTCACAGATCCTATGAGTTTCAAGGATCTAGTATCAGCATGCCAAGTTGAGGGTGCCTTCCCTCTGATAGCTGAAAACAATAATTTTATTGTATGTGCCAGAGTACTTAATATTTTTTATCAAATAAGCTCTTGGGAAAACACCCTGAAAGTATCAGTGTAGATAGGGAGATTTTGATAATTCCTGATGCTTATTTTCAGGTTTGAGAGGGCTGACAACATTTAGTGGTATTCTGAGATGGTTTGGCCTCTGCTAGGGGGAGCAAAATGGCCACAAAGACAAGTGCCATTTCCTGTCACTGTCTCAATTGTTTCATTTATGGCATCCCACAATATACATATATTTTCTGACTGATCACTGTATCTTTTATCTGCATATAAGCTCTTTTATGTCCTTTGTGAGTTGATTGTTAACGACAAGGACCTAAGGGCTAGCAGCAACCTCTCTCATCCGGTACAACAAGGCAGCCTCTCCCGGTGCAGCTGCGTGTTCAGAGTAGCTGACTGAACCTGGTGCTTGTGAGAAAAGGGAGAACTCGTTCCTCAGGATGCAGTTCTGTTTGATTGACTCTTTCGTCTGCTTTTTGGGAAGGCTCTGGCGTTATGTCCTTGTGCCACCTGCTGGCTCTACAGGACAGTGCGGACTTCAGACGTAATAAAAAATGCAAGTGTAAAATATAGTGGCCTCCAAGAGCTTTCCTTTGGACACAGGTTTGCTTAAAGTAAGGGAGGAGAAATTCTTTATCTCTGAATCATGTCTTTGAAGTCAGGCATTTAAGAATCAATGTCCAAATAGTTGAGAAGGTTCTAGGTTGGTACAGTGGCTTTGCAATACTTTAGTTTTTTTCTACTACTCTATAGATCAGTTTAAGCTAGTTCTTACTGTCATTAACAAATACATTATATTATTTCAATGATGTAACTTCTAGGCTGTGATTGCTTTTGATCCATGCCCTTTGGCATAAGTTACAAGTTTGTGAAGACAGATTTTCCGTGGAATTTGGAGACGGTTGGTCTCCAGAAAGGGCAGAATAACTGCCCTTTTAGATTGCAGTGCTGTCCCTTTGCCAAGTCTAAGGGCATCAAAGAAAACCCCCGTGTACCTATGGTGAAAAAGGGAATGTTCCATGTGCTGTTTTATGTTTATAGTGGAGTAATAATCCTAAATTTGGATTGAAGCTTCGCCATGGTCCCACTGTATTTGGAAGAAATCTTAGTGATCTGTTGTGACTGATGCTTAAAAGAAGAAATCTGCTCTAATTGCACATCTTAAAAGTAGAGCACCTGATGGTGGCTGACTCAGTATACAAGTGTGGGTTGTTTTTTTTAATTGAAAGTGTCCTGTGTAAATGCTCTTTCAGTTTAGTCACTGACAATAATGTAGTACTTCTGGAGTGAAAGAAGGAGGTGCACTGCTCTGCTGATGCCAAGCTTAGTTGCCAGTAATGCTTTAGTTATCTTGTGCTGTTGCCAAGCAGCATAAAGTAAGTGAATATGGGTTATTGGTTCTAAAAGTGAACTAAATTTTAACAAATTGCTTCATGAAATCTCATCAGAAGCGTTACTTTGTATTTTCTTATTAAGCAATGAATGCTGATTTTAAATAAGAAAGCCAGGAATATCAGTTCCAGCAGGGCTTAGTTAAAGTGGCAGTAAGGATTTCTATAATATTATATTTTTCTATCAGTTCAGATATTTCACATGAATGATGAAAGCTCAATTTGTGTGTGTGTGGGGGTGGAGATTGTATTCTTTTGGTGGGAGGAGAGGAGCATTTAAGATATGTTTATTTGAATTGAGGGCTATTCATATAAAGCTGTCAGAATCATGACATATGGCTGTTGCTTTGCTTCACTCAGGGGTACGGTATGGTTATGCAAATGTCCTAATTGCATTTTTGAACTTTACAGATTTTTAGATTCATTTTAATATGTCTTACTACTAAGTTTCCACATGTGTGTCTGTTTTATTGTAAACTCAGAAATGTGGCCCCAAACAGTTGCTTGTGAAAGTTTCAAGAAGAAAGACTGAGAAAACTTGATTGATAAAGTTGACATGTTAGTGCTAAAGTTATCATTCAGTTCTGTAGGTACCCAATACTTCACAGTACACAGAACGCTTCATGCTGCTGTAGAAGAGGTTTAAAAGGTGTTCTCGGTGCTTTTTTTTTTCTTTTCTTTGGCTGAACTCAGGAACATTTCTGAAAATGAAATGACTTGGAAGAAGTGACTTGAAAAGCACATTGGTTCTGAAACTTACTGGGCTTGGCTCCTTTAACCAAAAGGTCAAATGTGGGAGAACTTTAACAAAAAAATAACTTTTTTGTGATTATATAGTATTCTCTTAAAACACGAAATAGTTCTTTGAGTATTTGTGGTGTCTGCAGGGGTTAACCATTATGAAAGTGCTTTACAAAGATTGTAATGTAGATTTTTATTTATTTATTTATTTACCTGTAAAAGCTGTGTTGTGCTTCTCAAAATATTTTTAACAGACTGTGTTTGTCAAATGCCCTTAGTTGACTCCTGAAGAACAGGTATGCCCATTTTTGATGTGTATATGAGGAAGAGTGGGTGGTGAAGGAACTGGAGTCTTACCTGCAAATGAGGCCAACCTGTGAAAATGGAGAGTGGAGGGCTGTGTGCTTTGGCTTATCAAAGGTGCCTCTGAGAACAGAGGACAGGTGCAGGTATAACCACAGCTATAACAAGGGCCAAAGGGATTACTAAGGGCTAGAATATTCAGGTTCTTTATGTTGTTTTTAGAAAGTTACATTCTGCAGCCTCTTGCTCATTCTTGCACATGCACTTGTTGCTCTCCCTCACTCTCTTGGTAGACATCTTTCTAGATGAAGATTCAGAGAGTCTTACTTACCCTGGCTGTCATTTGCTGTGCTTACATGAACTTTTATTTTGCAGGTTAAAGTCAATTCATCTTCTTTTTATTTATATGCTCCTGGCTTTATAAGAGATATTATACTTTTATTCCTGAGTTCTTGTGAGTGGTGCATGGAGTTAAAACTAATAAACCATAATATAATGTGATAACCATAACAAAATGATATGGTTTGTGCAGCAGTTTCACTTGAATATCTATCTCCTAGATATATGGCTTTGTTTTAATTCATGTCTCAAGGGTTTTCCTGCAAGGGAAAGGTGGACTTAACTGCTTCTCACAGTGTAGTTGGGAATGAGGCACGGCAAACAGCAGAAACAAATTATTGAGTCCTCCTTACTATAATATCCTGTGGATACTGTATTGCATATTCTGTAATACAGCAAGCTTTCCCCTGGAAAGATATTGGCTTAATATCTTTAAGCTTTTATAAATGTATGGACAGTGGTTGTTTAAATGCTGTGAGGTATTTCAAGGAATTGGAACTCTTCCCAAACTTCATTTTACTTGGCAAAACTAACAAATTGCTATAGCCATCTTAAATAATCTTTTATTCTATATCTTTCTCACTTGTTTCATCTTTCTGGAACATAATTGTCCAGCATTCTATACCATATATCAAAGGAACAAACATTACAAAGAAAACGTTCCAGTATTTTTCGTTAACTCATAGCTTACCTGTTTCTGATCCATCTTTCAAGAGAATGAAACGACTTTGTGATTTCAACAATCCATTTTAAATGAAATTCAATCTGGATGGGTGTCAAGCTTATTAAAGCTTGACATTAGAGAAAATGAAAACAAGACATTTATATTAATGAGAGGAAGCATATTTTATGTAATGTAATTAGTACTTGTTCTTTTGGATGTCTATATCAGAGTTTATTAGTATGTTTGTTCTCCGCTTGCACTGTGTGACCACCGTCTTGTTTTTTGTCCCAGCAGATACATTTGCATTATGTACTAACAACAGAGGAACTTCATAGGAACAGGAAGGTTGGGAGGTGGCTTGGGGAGTTATTATCCTGGTGAAATCAGAGCCTCGGAATAGTTGTTTAGCTGATATTGAAGAAAATTTTCTGGATTTCTGGGTGATAGCAGTATCTGTATTCCAGATGCTCTCTGTATTCTAGCAGTATTAGTATCGGTACACAGAAAAGGCACCATGAACCGAGTTTGAATATGATATTAAGAGTATGCATCAGTTATTGCAGTAATTGACCTCTAGTGGTTGTGCTGTTGTTATACTCTGATAAATGTGATGTCGCTTCCCACTTGTTAAATTAAGATAACAATTAGCACAACTGCGTTCTCAAGAAAGTTTACAGCCTGTGACAGGTTAAATTTATTCTTCATCAGATGGGACTAAAAATAGTATCATATCTTACTTTTGAAGGTCTTTTGGGGGTACAGCTAAACATTGGTAGTGTTTCAAAACCATTGATACATTTTTCAGCAAAAAGGATGAAACAAGGCTCGTTATAACTTAATAAAGAGTTGCTTCTTTTTTTCCTTAATACATTTTTTGTTGTTGTTGCTTTGTCTTCCAGGATACAAAGCTATGGATAATAATGGAATATCTCGGTGGAGGCTCTGCCCTTGATCTTGTAAGTAAATTTTTTTACTTTAGACCACATAATTATTTTCCTCTTTTATTTTGTTATAACATTACAGAAACTGTAATGTGTCATCTGCCTAGTGATGCTGTTCATTGAAATAATATAAAAAGTTTTCATTTTGCAAGTGTAAAATTGTTACTTGAAGTGAGAAAGCAAAGCAATCAGATGGCTAAGAAAGCAATTAGATGGCTAAGATAGAAAAGCTTTTGTTTTAATTTGGATATTCGTAGGGCAGGAGAAAATAAGACTTTGTCATTGCTGTAAAAATGTTATTTTTCCATAAGCTAAGTCTGATCATTTGTGCAGATGGAATGGAAGTAAGCAACATAATATTGGAAACAAAATATAAACACTTTCATCTTACAGCACAGATATTCTGTCAACCAGAGAACACTAGAGGTTGAAAATAATTAGTGTTTTCTTTATCTTATTTCTACTAGTGCAATTACTTCTGGTGAATTCATTTTAAAACTTCACCTTCCACCCCCATCCAATTCTACCCCAAAAGTCAAGCCAGAAGTTTCCCTATTGGATTCCTCACTAAAGAGGAGATTGAGACACAGTTTTAGCTGATGTTAAAACAGCTTTCTTTGAAAGTTTTTTTTTTAAATATATGTATATATATATGCATATTATGTTTTTTTTTTTTTTAATCTTGTATATTTAGTGAATCATATCTATTCTTCTCTTCTACCAAAAATTTTGATATCTAATCTAAGGTGATCTGCTTAACAAAGCATAGAGTTGTATTTCAGAGTATTTGAAAGACTGTTTATTGAAAAATACAGTTACACTGGATGATTTAATGAAATTATTCCCTTTTGAATTGTAATTCAAAAGGATATTTATCAAAGCAGGTTACAGTTTCATTGACTGGATGTCTGATATTCCTTTTATTAAAGGATTGTTTATTAAAAAATAAAAAGAACAACTTGAAACCACAATCTTGTGTGTGTGGGTGTGCGGTGTTTTTCTCTTTTTTGGGGGGTTTTGTTTTCTTTTTCTATTGTCTCAGGACTGAAAATGCATGTTTAATGTGGTGGTTGAAAGTGGAAATCTTTGTAGTAATATATGCTGTTTGCATATATTATTTGCTGAGGCAAATAATAAGCATCTGAAGAAAGAGTGCAATTAGAGAGGCCTGTATGGAGAGATTCTTCATTAGAGACAGGAGAGTAGTAAATGCTTTATCAGGGTTCCTGGGCTGCCATCTTTTAATTGTAATTGATGTACTTATGTATAAATATATCTGATGATCTTTTCAGACTTATTTATACTGCTGTTTTTGCATCCTGTAAGGAGGACTTGTATGGCCGTATCATGGCAGTCAGCGGTCGTAATAAAGAAAAAGCAAGTTCACTGGTTCACACAATCTAATAAAGATCTGCTTAAAAAGCAAGTTCACTGGTTCACACAATAGTTTGTTTTGTTTTTTGACAGGAGAGCAATTAGAAAATATTTGTTTGCTTTGGCAACTTTATTATTATTTAATTACTCTCTTGGCTTTGAGAATATGTAAAAGAGGAGACTGAGAATAAAATAGATGCTGTCAAGTTTTTTTTTTTTTTTAATCTTTTAATTACACAACTAAAATTTGGCACCTGCAGCCTAGCAGGCTCTTAGGTTATCAGAGTCAGGCAGAATTTGTATGTCTGCCTGTTTGTTGCATTTATAAAGCAATGTTCCTGTGTACATACTATTCCTGCCTATTAGCTGAGTATTTCTTTCCTGAGGATTTTCTGATGTGATTATCCCTGAAATCTGAGAAGTGAACGAAGCTTCAGAGGTATTTTAGGCTTAGTGGCACACTCACTCTTTAGGATTTATATCAGATGGAGAGCTCCAAGTTCCTCTGTCCCCACTGTCTCTTCTCATAAGAATTGAGTTGCTCCAAACCTTTTATTCTAACAATCTGCAGATTTATAGCTTCAGTGTTTGGGTTTTGTGTGTGTGTGGGGGGGAAACTTTTGTAGTATTCAATGCTTCTATTAAGCTAACATTTTGAGTAGTGGTTTGGGGAGCTTCACAAAATCCCATGTAGTAATAGCATGTATGATTTTGTTACTTGAAGTGCTTTAGTTTCCTCTTCAGATACTGGAATTTGGATCTGTATACAACCTTCAGAATTACACTTCTTGGTTCAGTACAATATAAATCATTAGATTATAAAATAGATACTTTTCAAAGATTGTGCATATATTTAAAGATGTGGTTGGAAAGTCATAATCTCGCACTGTTTCATGCTTTTAAGAGATATCTATAAGAGCTTTTCACAAGCTTCTTAAGGTGTTTTAGATAAATGAAGCATTTTTTGTGTCTCATTCATCAGACATGTAATATAGAGCCATGTATTTTGGGCTGTATCTCATGTTCTCCAGTTGCAAACTGGAAGTTTTGAGGTGTGGCCTAGGGAGGGAAATTAATTTTTAAAATAAAGAGAAACTAAGGCAGCAGCAAAATTTTGAGGTAGGTCTTGCTCCTTAGGCTGCAGACAAAATATAATAACACAAAATAGGCTTACATCTATTATTTGGGAGGAAGATAATTACAGTACTGAGCTGTTGAATTGAATTCTCTCTCTTGCACCCTCTCACACCGTTCAATAAAAATAGATAAATTTGTATGTGAAAGGCTAGGAGAAAGAAGAACAAACTGTGTGATGATTTCGGATATCCTTTTTATACAGCCATCAGTTTTAGGGAAGTCTTTAGGAACTTAAGAAATCTGTCCAATTGGTTTATTACAATTGGCTGGTAGGTTGAAAAGTTATTAGTAAGACTGACCAGTAGGACAAATCCTACGATTTCATGAGATTAGCTTCTGAGCGAGACTTAAAGACAGTTGAGTGGTTTGGGTTTTTTTTCCATTTTATTTCATTTATTTGCTCACAAATATTTGGCAGTTTCTTTGTGGTTTCATAATCTTCAAATTTTATGTGTGTGCCCATGTGTGCATGTTTATAAACACACAGGTTTTTCTATCTCCTAGTTAGAACCTGGCTTGCTTGATGAAATCCAGATTGCCACAATACTGAGGGAGATACTCAAAGGACTTGATTACTTGCATTCAGAAAAGAAAATCCACAGAGATATTAAAGGTAAATCATTTTAAATGTGTATTGTAATAGATCTTAGAATAGCTCATGGGGTAAAAATGAAGAACCTTGAAGTGTCAAAGCTGTCAATTTCAGCTGTTTTCTTTTATTCTAGCTGCTAATGTATTGCTGTCTGAGCAAGGAGAAGTAAAACTAGCAGATTTTGGAGTAGCAGGACAGCTAACAGATACGCAAATAAAGAGAAATACCTTTGTAGGAACACCGTTTTGGATGGCACCTGAAGTAATAAAGCGATCAGCATACGATTCAAAGGTAAGAGACTTTCATATTTCAAGGCATTAGCCAAAGCGTCTTCCTTTATTTACTTTTATTTAAAAATGTTTTTGTTCAAACTCGAGTTACACAAGCTGATGTTCAGAATGTAGCTGGGTTCAGACAGGTGTCCATTTATATGATGCATAGTATGTAAAGCTGCTGGCGTGGCACAAAGCTCCTGATTTGTATGCAGACTTCCTCTTTTTTTTTTTTTTTTGCATGCTAAGCCCATCCAGATGTCAAGAAATATTATGCTATTGACAAATATTTCTCTGTGCTTTTTATCCTGCCCTATGGCTCAGTATTTTGGATAGCCTTTTAAAAATGGAAGACAGCAAATACAGAAGCTAATCTGCCTCCTAATTTTTGTTTTCTTTGAAACAACAGCTCTCACAAAAATAGTCAGCAGCACTGTTAAGAACATAGATTTGGTTGGTGTGAAAATGTGCTACCATTCATGATGTGTGGGGCAATAGGCTGCAACCCTATGAGACAAGATCTTTCCACCCTCATCCAAACAAGGAACTCACCAATTTTGATTGTGGTTACATCATTTGTGGTATTGCTCCTTCCCTATTTGATACCTTCCTCTGTGGTGGTCATCTGAAAGGGCCTTGTTGAGTCTCTTAGAAGCTACAAAGATTCCAAATTCCTAATGTTGACTAATGCTTTTTTGTTTGTTTGTTTGGGAGTTTGGGACAGTCTATTTATTTTTGGGGGGTGGAGAGGAAGGACAGTGCTTCATTCTGGCTTCTTCATACCACAAAGTCATGGGAACATAAAGAGTTCTTAGACACTTGATCGATACCAGAGCTCAAAATTTGAATGAGCTAGGGATATATTTTTGTGTCTGTGAGCCTCTGACATTCTGAAAGAGCACTAGGATGTCTGTACAGATAGCTTTGTTACTGTTGGCCAACAGCCACTTGATAATGTCCTTTTTGTTTTATCAGGGACTAATGCAAGAGTGAGAAAACATGAATTTGATGCTAACCTGATTTTCTTTCCATAAGCTGGTTATGCTTGAGGAGTGTTCTTTTTATAGCACACTTCCAGTGAAGGGCAAGCAGTCTCCATCATGTAACTGCTGTTACTCGCTTCTGTTGCTGCCTCGGGCCAATCCTGCTACTTACCCTCAGTGCTGATGGGTTTTCTCCCAGGGGCTGCAATGCTCTCTCAATACTGCCTTTGGTACGACTTATCTACTCCTTTCCTCCCTTATTGTGTTGCTCTTCATGCCTCATGCTATCTATTAAATTCCTTGTCTTTTTTTGGATTGATATCTTCATGTGGACTGCTAAAACTGTACAGTTGTGTAAGGGTAAACAAACTCTGAGTTATGGCAGAAAACTAATATGGAAAAGAGGATAGTTGCAGAGATCTAAAATGGCTGGTGATTGTTACAAGGCTTAAACTCTTGCTAATACAGAAACACTTTAACATCTTGGTAGCCGAGGGTCTTCCTGACCATAGCCTACACTGTATTATCAACATAACTCATGAACTGGTTCTGCAAGAGCTATTATTGCAATGTGTTGATTTCTACTGTAAACATTTTTGGCTACAATATAATCGTACTTGATTTCATGAAAATGATAAATACTAAAGGTGAAAATCTAACTTTACAAGGAACATTGTTTCCTTTCTCTTTCTGACCTAACCTCTGAGCTATCATTTGTTACAGGCAGATATCTGGTCGCTAGGCATAACGGCCATAGAACTTGCCAAAGGAGAGCCACCTCATTCGGAATTACATCCGATGAAGGCTTTGTTCCTCATCCCTAAGAACAATCCGCCAACGCTGGAAGGGAACTTCAGTAAATCTCTCAAAGAATTTGTGGAGGCCTGCTTGAACAAGGACCCAAGCTTTGTGAGTTGCAGCTGTTTCTCATTTTCTTCTAAAAAATGTGTCTGGTTTACACAAATTCTCTATGAAAAACTCCTTTACAAGGGGCTTAGAGGGGCTTATTTAGTTGAACCCTGTGCCACGTGTTCTAGGTGTCCCTGCTGGAGCAGGGGGGTTGGACTAGATGATCTCTAGAGGTCCCTTCCAACCTCAACCATTCTGGGATTCCGTGTGATTCTGTGATTTAACAGAACCGCTTCAATGTGTTATGGTTCTTCTCAAGTCTGCGTACTTTAAAAACACACTTTGAAAAATCAGCTGTTTTATTTAAAAATGTATCTAAGAATTCAGGTGGTAGGGTTTTATGTGCCTTTTTTTTTTTTTCTTTTACATGCCTGCAAACATGTGACTCTGGATTTTTTTTTAACCTTATTATCTTTAGCTTATTTTTAACTTGAAAATATTTTGGCTGTGGAGGACTTTAATATAAAATTGATGTAAACGAGAGATGATTTTTCTTGTTAACTATGTTTTTATTTTGAAAGCAGTTTTAACGTCTAGGTCAGTAAGACGTACAAAGATAAAATTACTGGCAGAAAGCTTTGACAGAGACATCAATTCTAATATTGTTCTAATAAAGCCATATGGGATATTTGAAAGTTCTGTCCCAAGTGATACCAGAAGCTGTAGTTCAGTTGAGTTCAGTTGATCATCAAAGGAAACTAATATGCTGTTTTAACACTTTTGCAAAGCTTATATTTTAGTCTCTGGGTAGAAAATGTACCTTTCAGCTTTCCTTCTATGATGGAAGATAGTCATTAGCATCTTAACCTTTTTGTAGATAGTTGGATGTGTTTTAAGATGCACAGTGTCAAAGCCAAATCTGTGACAGTAGTACTTTGCTTTAATCATCTCTTTATAGTGATACAACCAGGAGTCATTTTAACACTTTCAAATGCATTTTTAAAAATCCTTTCTTTTAAGAGACCGACTGCAAAAGAGCTCTTAAAACACAAATTCATTTTACGAAACGCCAAGAAAACCTCCTACTTGACGGAGCTTATCGACAGGCACAAGAGGTGGAAGTCTGAGCAAAGTCACGATGACTCCAGCTCCGACGACTCGGATCCGTACGTACTTCTTCTAGCACATCTCTTGTTCCACCTACTTGCGTTGCTGTTGAGCTACTGCTTTTCAGGTAGACAAGTAGCCTTGGTTGAACTAAGGAAACCCTAATTTTGAGGCTGCAACACATCTCCCGTAAAACTTAGTCACTGATAATAATTCGTCTTTATGTTCAGTCTATGTATTGAAATATATTGAAAATAAGCTGTGGGTGCTCTTTTCTTTCTTTTTTTTTTTTTTTTTTGTAAACCCCTAAGTGAGCCAGATGGCCAGGCTTCAGGAGGGAGTGATTCCGGAGACTGGATCTTTACAATCAGAGAAAAGGATCCCAAGCATCTAGAGAATGGAGCAGCCCAGGCTTTGAAACTGCAAAGAAATAAGGTAGTTGAAGTGTTTATTAAGCAAAGAGATAATTCTTGCTTTAGTATTTTAGTGGGGTCATGAATCTTATTTTGTATATCACTTTAAAAGCATTTAAACTGTGAAAGTTTTTTGAACTTTTGCTAAACTGTATGTCTCACCATTGTCCTACTCCAAAGTTTTTGTGTTCTGGGTAAGTATTTCAGTCTCGAAATTTAAGTAGACTGTGCCATTTATTTTCGATTTGTGAAATGCATGCATGCCACTTGAAAATTTAAGTAGACATTTTTTTTTTTTGATTTGTGAAATGCATGCATGCCACTTGGATGCAGTCCTGTGCCATGTGCTCTAGGTGACCCTGTGTGTGCAGAGGGGTTGGACTAGATGATCTCTAGAGGTCCCTTCCAACCTTAAGCATTCTATGGTTCTGTGCTGTTGCCAGGACAGTGGGAGAAGGCTATGTTGTGGTTTTTATTAGTTAATTTTGCACTGGGCCTTTAGGGAGGGCATGTGTTACTCTTCTTTTAGAGAAGAAGACTGCAAGGTATCAAAGAAAATGTGCTTGAGCCCCCTCCCCCAAAAAGTGGGAGATTATTTAGTTGGGGTGGGTAGGGGAAAGATACTTAGTTGTTTCTTCAGCAGATGTTCTGCGGCCCTTGTGTTGGGGCTGGTGGAGCTACCCTTGTTGGGGAAGGTCTTGATGTGTGTTTTGATCAGAACTGAGAGTGGGTAAGAAAAGTTTTGTAGCATGTGGGAGGTGCCTAGGAAATTTCAGCATCTGCATGGCTGGATGTGTGCCAAGGAATTTAGGAGGATTGCATGCTGAAGCCTCGAACATTAAGGCAGGTTTTGGGTCAGCTTGTTGCAAACGTTTTACATTATTTATCTATCTATATGTATTAAACACATTTTTCATAAAGTGTAGTTTGTTTGAACTATTTTTCCCTGTAACTAGAAACAGAATGCAGTGAAGACAATTTTATCGAGAATAAAACTGATTGGATTTTTTTTTTCTTAAAGGAAAAGGATATCCTAAAGAGGCCTCTGTCTCAGTGCCTTTCTACAGTTATATCCCCTTTGTTTGCAGAGGTAAGTTGTTGCATTAAGGCTAATTAATTCTAGAATTTATGTCTCAAAAAAAAAAAAAAACCCTAAAATAAGTCGGCCAAGGTTTCTTCAACCCATCTGAAACTTGATGTGTTACTCCTCTAGCTGTAGCCTTTTCTTTCATGCATTTCTCTTGAAATCTGGGGTTTGCCTCTAATGATGGTTATGCATGGTAGTGACATGCATCAATCATGCTAGCCTAAAGCAATGCATATGAAAAATAAAGGACTGTAAATGTTTGGATTGAAATAATATTTTTAATGTTATTTTATCCTTTTACTTGTCATTTTATCTGTTACAAATCTCGTAAGTTCTTCATTTCTTCACAACCATGTGACTGCAGACTTGCCCAACAAAAAAATTTCTAATTTCCATTTTGAAAACTTTATTGTATACCCATTCTGAATTTTTTACTGTTTTGTGCTTACTTTTCCAAATACATTATTGAAGTCTATTGAAGAAAAAGTCACATGAAAGGGAAAACAGACATTTATGAAGCCGTGATTATTTTAAAATGTTGATAGAATTCTATTTAAGAAACAAAAATTCCCCTTTCACCCTAGTTTTGATGTTAAGGATTTTTATTTGAATAATGCTTTCAATCATTTTAACTCTTACAGAAATAAAGCTAGAGCAATTTTGTTCTAGTAAAAGGATGTTGTCCTAATTTCATCCTAATGAATGAAGCCCTGCTTCAGAGTATTTCCATCAGTTTTGCCTGCTGCTCCGTAAACATACTGAGTGCAGTAAAGCAGTAAAAAGTATTTAAAGGTTAAACTCTCTGTATGAGGTTATTCAAATTCTGTATATTAAGTGGGCCTTTCATTCTGTGTGAAATGGAGAAACATTTGAAATGCAGATTTTGATGTTTTCCATTGCAGTTAGTGTGTTATGACTTGCTTGTCTCCCTTTCAGAAAATCCCTTCCATCCCAAATACTTTTCTGGTGGCTCTCCATCCCCTTTGGTTTCCCTTCCCTGCATCATGCATGTTACAGGTTATGTACCCACTGGCTTTCCCAGTGCACCCTGTGTTTTTATCCTTTTATTTTTGCCAGTCTTTTCTTCCATGCTCTCTATCACATGTCTTCTGGAGATACTTCTGTGTTCTTCCTTCTCATGGCATTGCTCACTAGGCACCATCTTAGGCTTTGTTTTTCTTGCTTCCCATTCTTACTTTTTATTGTTGCTTGCCGTCCCCAGTGGGTGTACGGTGCCCCTAGTACTGCTGCAGCAGCATGAACATTTTTCATTGCAGTCCTCATGAAGATTGTCATTTACCTCCATCTTCACAGTACCTAGCTAGAGCAGAGGCTACAGAAATTCTTAGGCACTTGCTTGTTAAAACCTTCCTTCTGTGGGAGAGGAGTCTGAGACTGGTGCCCGCTGTTTGGTTCAGACCTGAGACTCCCCTTCTGTGCCACTTCTGATGGAACACTGTAGCACTGAAAGGAGGTGTGAGTGACTGAAAGCTTGTAAGGCTGAGTGATGTCTTGCTGACTACTGCAAAGACTGACCCGGGGGGGAAAAAAGTCTTCAAGATGTGAGGGTGTGATAGAAGTCAAGTTCTGACATTGCCAACACTAGCAGGCACTTTGTAGCAAGATTTTACATTATACCGTTTATGAAAATGTTTATGAATATCTCAGTAATGTATCTCTGTGTGTTTCTTTTTTTCTTTTAGTTGAAAGAGAAAAGTGAGGTGTGTGGTGGCAACTTAGATTCCATAGAAGAATTGCGAAAGGCTATTTATTTAGCTGAAGAGGCTTGTCCAGGCATTACAGATAACATGGTGTCACACCTGGTGCAGAGGCTTCAGAGGTGATCAATCTATTTCACTGAGCCTTAAAGAAAACTGAAAAAAATATTTATTTATTTTTCATTTGGCCAGTGTTATACTGAAAGAATTAGTTTCTACTTGGAGGAGAAAGATTTTGTTTGCAGTTTGCACAATTGAAATTGAGCTCATGTGTGTTTATACTATTAGTGTACATATTGTATGCATGTAAGTCTGTATGGCCTTTTGGTTGTTTCACCAAGAACAGCTTTTTGAACTACTCAAGAAGGTAATTTCATTTCAATTTCATTTCATTTTCTATTTACTGCATAGATTAAGAACATGTTCTTCATAAACACACACTCTGCTTTTCTTATCAATACTGCCCAAGAAAAGATTGGGAGAAGTTTCAGGATTACACCTTGGAGTAGCTTTAAATGCTGCTTTGAATGCAGGAACCCACAGCTATGGTGAATCCAGCCCCTCCAGGCTGGACTGCTTGGTAACAGAAAGCTCACGGCCGTAATTTCCCACGTGCTGCTGCCTTAGAAGGGGTTTGCCCTCAGTAAGTACCTTGCTCATGTGGTCTGTAACCACAGCCTTGTAAAGTCATTCTTCTGAAGCTGAAGCAGGTGGGTGACAGGCTGACACTGTTGCATTCAGTAAAAATCAATGCTGAAAAATCTGCAAGCAGGAATAGCCTTCCTTGCTTTCTGGATGGTTAGGAATGAAGCCCCCTCAGCATCTCCGGTGCTGAAAGGTGTCTCCTTGGTGCCAGATATCCTGGCTCTCCTTTTTTTTCTGTCAGGCTTGGGAGAATTTCTGGAGTTTCTACCTGAGCTTCTGTTTTCATTAGGTGACCAAAACTGACTGTTTTTCATCAGTTCCTGGTTTCAGTGTCCAAGTCTCTGTCCTTGGTACAGGGCCTGCCTGTAGTTGGGAAGCAGGGGCTTTCAGTTTGGTGGTCAAGGCTGAACATTACGTTGTGTGGAGACAAGCTTCCCACTGGGCACTTCTTTGGTGGGTGCTGTAGATAAATAGTTACCTGTACTGGTCGCAAGAGAGCTACTGGCTTCTTTATTTTGCATGTAGGAAAACTTGTCTCTGGTGCTGCTATATAAGGGCTCTACCTTCAAAATGTAGAGTGGGACAAGGCCATTTGCCCCACTGTTACCAGCCAGTTTAAGTGCACGTAGATGGTTTTCCCTTCACTGTGATCATGTGAACACTTTTTATTTTGCATATTAGAATCTAATTTATACAGTAATCCTAATTCCGATAACAAATTAAAAAAACAAAGTTAAAAATAAGGCACCGTAGGGTTTTTTTTTCCAGCTCCTGCACAAATGTAGGGCTGCTTGCTCCCTGACTGGCAGTTTTGAAACATTGTTTTCTCAAAGTAAAAACAAAAGTTTGCCATGCAAAAACATAGTGGTAATACCTGGAGGGAAAAATAAAAAAAGGATGCAATGCCTACAAATAGCAGCAGAGGATCCCTTCTAATAAATTGTGCCTGAGACATACTGCCCAGGTATTCCAGCTAATCTCTGACGTAAAATTGTCGGCAGAAATAAGTAAAAACAGCATTTAGATTTTTAGGTGATGTCACGCCTCTCACTTAAACTTCTCCCTGATGAAGGAGAAAACCTCCTTCATCAATAGTGTCTACCCATCTTTATTGCTCAGTGCTTGGAGGGGTGGTGGGAGAAAAGGGTGCCTGTTAATGGTGATTTCTAGTGCTTGGGAACAGCAGGCATCACTACCATCTTCTAAGTTACCCAGTCTATAGCTTTGCTGCTGTCCTTAAATAATAGCAGTTGTGGTGTCTGGAAGCCTCCACATACTCCTTGCAGAATAGAGCAACATCCCTTCTTTCTTTCTAATGTATCTAGATTTTTTTGCTTTTTTATATTTGGCTAATTAAGTTGACCGTGGCTATGTACTTGCTACCAGCAATTATTAATGACTTATAAAAGCAAATCCCATTCTGGAATGGACAGTTATGTTGTCTGGTGGTGTGAATCTGAGTGCTGCTGAAAGGTTGATACAGATGTATATATACAAACACACACATATACTATGCCATACATCCATATGTATGTTTTTTAGGTTTTGTGTATGTAAAATTTATTTGCAGTTAATTTTCCTTAGATGGACATTCCTCTCAAGTGGGAGTGCAATGGAGTTGCAATGTCACCATTTCCTTATATTTCAAGATACCTCTAATATTGTTGAATTTACTCAAATCTGTATTAAAATTACAGTCGTCTAGGACAACTTTTACAAATGTGGTCTCTCATCCTACTAAATTATTGTATTCACTTGCAATAGTCTCTCCTTTTGATTGGTAAAATATAGTCAATGGCTTTCTGATTACATTTTTTTACCATGATTTTTATTCCTCTTGTAGTTATTTGAAACGTGCTCCTCCCCTTCCCCTTTGTATGAATATATTAATTGGGACTCTCAAAAGATCTAGCCCAATAAGCTGTGTGAATCCATTCACCTTCTCCTTCTAATTCTGATCTCTGGTATTTTACAAAGCTTTTTTGAAAGATTAATAGGCTTAAAAAGCATGCTTCTCTTTTTACACAATTATTAAAAATCTGTTTAGACCAGGAAATGCATCACAGTGTAATGGAATGACCTCTCGTTTCTGCTTGTTGTATGACAGTGTTCTGGAGGTGACATAACCAACCATTTTATCTCCTCTCCAGGTATTCCCTACCTGGAGGAAGCACTTCATCCTACTGAAGCAGCTGCTCTGACTTAGATCCTAAGACAACGGAGATCCCCTGGTGTCTGCACTGAAAAAGTCCCCCGATGTTGTTCTGCCCCTGGGTCACTGGGATGTTCGTGGGTGGAAGGACATTTCCCCGTGTGCAAGAGCAAAAACGGGATCTCAGATGGAAGAAGTCTTTTTCAGCTCCTTGAGTAGATATAGCTGTGTTTTTTTTATTTTTATTTTCTTTTTTTTTTTTAAGAAAAAGAAAAAGGTAATGCACATATTCCAGGGAGGTGTCTTTTTGTAAAATCTCAAATGTATATTTAGGTTTGCGTTAGGGAAACAGAAGGTATTGAGAAACCTCAGGTATCTTGCTTTAAGAATTCCGCTGGGGGCTGGAGTCTGTTCTGCTGGAGTTGTGTACAGATCTGTATATAATGTCTTTTTTAACGGAAAGCCTTTCAACGTGCATAAGGAATCACTGTGTACAAAATGGTCAAGTGCTTCTGTAGATACTGTTAGTGGGGTAAATATTTGACAGGCCATAACTGAGTATTGCCTTGCGTTTATTACATGTAAATTTTGAATTATGTGAGAAGTGAATTTGGGTTTGATTTTTGTATATGAAGAATTTGCCATTGAGAGAGAGAGATAATCCTGTATTATGGAACCTTCTGTTTGTACCTCAGCAAATAGACAATTTGCTTCTGTTCCTCCAATATTCCTTCTTTTTTATCTGTATTCTGAGTGGGAATTTCTCATTATGGTACTACTTTTGTTGTTTTAAATTTAACACATCTTGTCTCCCAGCTTTAGATTGATATGATCGTTTCTCCAAAAGAATGAGCGCTCTCACGTGGTTGGTTTAAATTGTGCCAATGCAAAATCTCAGCCATGTGCATTGCTCTGTTTTGGCAGTAGATCTTTGTGAAGCCTGCAGTGAAATTCAGACACTGTCTTTTTTTTTTTCCGCCTAACCGTATTTGAATGTTCACACACACCAATTTTTACTACCAGCAGTTATTCTGAAATATCTCCTGAAGCTGCTGGTTTTGAGAAAATGGCAAATGTTTCTTCATTTTGCCTGTTTCTTTAGCATTAAATTGAATTACTTGCAAAGTAATAGAAAAATGATCCGTATAGTCCGTGTTTGGTCCTGCCATCTCAGTCTATGCAGCTGTTTGCTGGGAGAGAGAGAATTTAGGCAGAAGGACGGTGGAGCTGAGCCCGTGTGTTGTGTTCTGTGCCCTGCAGCTTGTCCCCTCAGAGAAGCTGCTTTGGGAATTGAGGCTGAAATTTCCAGTGTTCCTGTGGCTGCATCTGGAGAGCTGAACAAGGCTTTAAATTCCTCGGAAATGGTGACATCCGGACCTGCCCAGCTGGCGCGGTGGTGCCTTTTCACAGTGCTGCTCTGGAGGTTGATTCGGGTTGTTTCACCAAGGCCATATTCAGGTGCCTGTCCTTGTGGTGGCCAAGCAGGAGCGGTTTTGCCTTGTTTTAGTGAAGAAATTTTTGATTCTGTGGTTTTGTGACAGTGAGGCATCTTTTTTAAAGAATGAAAATTAGGAAATGAATTTGGAAACGTAGGAGTTAAAGTAAGTACGGGCATATCTACATAGTCTTGTGCACGAAGACCCAAGTTCTCTGAACACCGCTCAGTCAGGTATGTGCGTGTTAAGAGCCTTAATTATTAAATTAATTATTCATGCAAGCATTATAATTTTAATAATGTAATTTTAATGATGCAATTATTATTAATTTAATAATTAACAGCGCAGAAGGGCCCTGTTTTGCTAGCAGAGCTACGAAACTTCTGCCCAGGTTGAACCTGGGTAGAGGTGCACCGTCCTGCAGGCATTGCCTTTGGCTTCTAACAGCCTTCCTTTATGGCTAAGGGAATTTAAAGGAAATGTGAGCGATGCATTTACTGAGCATTGGCTTCTTGTTCTTGATTAATAATATCTTAACAGGCAGGTTTTTTATATGCTTTTAAAACGTGACAGACAGGTCTGCCCTCAGGGAAGCAAGTTCAGCTCTGCTCATGGGAGCCTGTGCACGTGAATACAGTGCAGTGGCAGTTGCCAGATGTCAGCGTTAGCATTCAGCGAGGGTGAGCTCCTACAGCACGGGGAGGTAAACAGGTGTGTGTGCATTTAACCTACAGGTGGCTGTGGAATTGGGAATTCAGGATTTTCCCCAGCAGAAAATGATGTGAACTTCTAAGGCACGCTGCTCATGAACAATCATTCAAAATATAAAAATGTATTGTCTTTTTTTTTTTTCTTTTGGTTTGTATTGTAGGTGTGTTCCGGGAGTGTCTGTGGGGAAAGCACTTCTCCATTTGAGTGGATGATTGTAACAGAAATTGCCGGGTGGATGTGTCCCGTGGTTTAGGAGCTCAGAGGGAGTAAAACCTGCTGCAGGGCCAATGGCTGAAAGGCTGAGGATGTTGAGAAAAAGACAAAATCTCATTTATGGTAGAGATGTGTATTTTTATATGTAACATATAGATTATTTAAGTATAGATTATCTTAAAGTAATATTCACTGAAAAAGAGTGCTGTTTCTTGAATGTAAAATTACAATCATTTGCTATTGAAAAGTATTGATGCTTTAGAAATAAGATCTATATTGGTAACAGAAAAGCAGCTTCATTGGGAAGAAGCATGTCAGTTTCTGAAGGAAAAATAAGTGTTTTGATATTTTTAAGAGGTTGTCTCATGCTGAAATATTGCTGTTGAAATGTTGCACTGAGGGTTTTTCTGTGCAGGTAATTTAGCCTCACTCAGTCTTGAATATACTAAGTGACACGTTATCCCTCCTTATGCAAACATTTGAGTTGGTGGAACTGCTTACTGGCCAGGGAGTTGAAGATTAAGCAGTGAATAAACTCACTTTCTGTTTCAAGAAGGAAAACAAACAACAAAACCAGTCACTTGAGCTGAAGGCTTGCTTTTTGTATTGAGAGACGTGTACTCTATTTTTTTAACTTAATTTTCCTTGCAGTTGCACTTTAGTAGTGGATGGCCAGTTCAGCGCAGCCTGTGGCATGGCTGGGGGCGCCGGGCGCCG